AGAGGGAATGTGATTATGAAACACAGCTGAAGTGAACCCTAAAGCTTTGTTATTGTTTGCCCTCCAAATCTGCTGTTTCACCATTAAAAACATGGCAGGGTAATTTACATTCATGCTACTGAGCAGATTTTGAGAATGCATTTGGCATGTTCTTTCTAAAACCTTGGAAAATTCAGGATCTTTGCATATTTTACTAGAATTTGGTATGCCTCTATATATTTATTAAAAGCAATGGAGTAACACAAACTTTTGATTACTTTGTATGTTTCTTCATTCCAAAACATGAAAAGTCTTCAAAATACATTGAAACAAAACCAAACAAGAATCAGGAATGCATATTTCAAAGACTGCCATTGGATCTCACAACATTAAATTAGCCGTTGAGCAAAGCTGAGTTTCTAAGATTACACATACACCACACACAAACCTCCTCCACCATATAAACTCTTCAGTAATGCCTTGAGTATTTTTAAGTTGGTATAAAAAAAGAAGGTCAGGTTATTCTCTCTTTTTTTTTTTAAGAAGGCATGACTATCTTTTGTTATGCCTTTAAATGTGTCCTTTGGAGACTCCTGACCCATGACTATTTCTCTTAGACATTACATCAGTTGCAAATAAAACGTAATGAAACCATAAATATTGCAGGTAGTCAACAAACCATCCTCTTTAGGCTTGCAAAAATCACAATGACTTCTCTCTGAAATATGAGTCTTCAACCTGGTTTCTGCATTATTAATTCTGTCTATGAGCTAATGATCCAGAGGCCCTCTAATCTCCCTGTAAGATGCAATACACATGCAACCAGGATTTCAATACATTTATCTTGAGTTTTCCCTTCAGAATATGGGAATCATTGGTTGGAAAGGGCTTGGAGCAATGTGGGATAGTGGAAGGTGTCCCTGCCCACAGCAAGGAATGGAAGGATGTGGTCTTCAAGGTCCCTTCCAACCCAAGCTATTCTCCAATTTTATGATTCCATTTTTCTGTGGAGTCAGTTCAAATGGTGTTCTATGTGATAGAAGAGGACTCAATAGAAATCTTATTCAATTTCAAAATACCAGCACCAATTTCATAACTAACCTGTGTTTCTAGAAATAATGTATCTACAAAGGACAGCATGAAGTTTTTTTGTCTTTTCTGATTTTGCTTTAAAATACATTTGGAAATGAGCACAAGAAATGGATTAAAAACAACTGGTTGTCTAATGCTGAGAACAGATTTTCTGTTCTAGGAAAAATTTCCAAGAGCAGTTCATCCACTTGTAAAAAGACTTTCCAGAAGACTGCCAGAAACAGCTTTTAACTTGTTCATCCTTGCTTTTAATAATTGATTTCATAAATTCCTCTCTATTCTCCATATGTCCTGCAGTTTGGAAATCCAAAACGTGTTCACTGCCCCTCAAGGTATTGCCACTGGTAAAAAGAATGAAGGGTTTTCCATCATGAAGGCAATCCCAATGTATTTCCAATGACTTCTCTACAGCATGGTGCTACCTGTGTCCCCAGGTGAGACCTCACAACTTCCCAAGTTATTCTGGAAAAGGACACAAATGTTGGTAAAATGTGATGGATTTAGGGCCATAACTAGTTTGGCTACAGGGGGATTTTTCACAGTCCTAAACAATCCTGCTATTCTGTCACTTCATCCAACCTCTTGATAAGTCTGAGTAAATACACCAACAACCAACCAATCAGCCAATTAACCAACCCCAGCTGGAACAGCTGCAAGAAGGAACATCCATGGAAGAACAGAACCCTTCAGTCAATATGAGTCTCAAAGCATAAATAAAATTCTGTTTAGCACCAGAGTTAATCAAAAATAACCCTCACAGATGAACTATCAGCAGCAGCAGAGGGCACAGTAGATGCATTCAGGAGTGTGGATAAGCAGTGGCCCTCTCTGCTTCTAAGAGAATTGGAAATTAATTACAGTTTATTTGCTGGTACCTTCAGAAATGCTTGGGAAGATCTTGAGATAAACCTTTGTGGAGTGTCTCACTTAGCACTTCTGAAGGTGGAACTAATTGATTTCCAATCAAATATGACCAACTAAAACCTTGACACTTGCTAATCATTGCACTCCACATGTGCTTCCTCCATGACTTCTTCCTAAGACATTTTTAGAGATATGAATTAGCAAGGGTTAATCAAAACCCTTTAAATTTTCACTTTTCCTGCAAACCAGGAGTTCCACCAACCTGGTAACGTGACAGTAACACAGCAGCCTTTGCCTAGCCAGGATGTTGCATGATCTTCATGTGTTGATTAATCACAAAAGGATCATTTTACTTCTTGTCTTTTTCCCATTACCCCTGGACATTCAGAACCAGTAACTCTGACAAGAGTTTTGCCATCACGTCCAGAAATCCAAAGGTATTTTCACAGATACTTAGGAGAGTCAGTCCTTTTTTAGCTTATTCAAGTAGTCAGTCATAAATGGAGGAGAGAGTTACTTCTCCATACTCGGGATATGTTGTCCTAAAAACTGACATTTCTGCACTGCACTGACAATTCTGCACATGGGTCTCTTCTGTCAGTGACCTTCTAGAGCCATGCATGACCACCTGCAAATGAATGTGGTTGATGAGGATAGAATAACTGCAATGAGACAGAGAAATGTTTATCACCTTGTCAAAAACAAAAAGGTCATTAGCATAAGAACATCTGTGATTTAAAGGTAGCCACAAATCCAATGTGCCTGTCAAGTACTGTAAGAATTTAATGACATCTGGAGCCAGCAGGATTATTCTGGTCAAAATCTTGTATAATGTTACTCATTTTTATATCTACTAAAACAGACATGTTATAGAACTGGACTTCTTACCAGCTGAAATCCTAAATTCTATACAGAAGGGGCAGCCAATAAATGTTCAGGATGACCAAATTCAAGAGAAATAACAGATGTAGTTTGCTTTACCTTAGGTCATATCTTTTTTCCCCCTTTTCTGCTTTTAAATGTTTCTTTTATGCAAAATGTCATGGTTCAGCACACTTGAAAATTAAAGACTACCAAAGATCAAGGTTTGAGTCCTTCCATTCATGAAAGGAAATTAAAATCATCACTAAGAGCATCACTTTTTATTATTCTGATACAAACCACTCAGAAAATGCCAAAAGGAAGAAGTACACTCAGTATTTAATAGGTTGTTTTGCCTTTTCATATTTTGGTGGAGAATTTATGAAAAGATGTGTGTATGAAGAGTTAGACATCAGCAGCCACATTCTGATCTCATGTACTCTGTCCCAACCCCATCTGTCCTGGATTGCAAATTAAGGTAAGGTAAATACCCAGGCACAAACAGCAAAGGAATATTCAAGGGATTAGCAAGAATTAAATCACTCTGAGGCCAGTTAAGTTATATGGGACATTTAATGGTTGGACTGGATCATCTTAAAGGTCTTTTCCAATCTTGATGATTCTATGATTAATCTGAACACAATCTTAAAAATGTGTAGAGCAAACACATTGAAAGGTGTTTTTCTTTTCCAGACTGAAAAATTCTGACCATTGCTGCCACTGAATTATCCTTTTCATGACTACAAGAAGAAGCTTCCCACCTAAACTTTCTAAAACTTTATTCATGTTGTTCTTCTGTAACCTACTTTACATTGATTTAATCAAGCTCCTTTAAACACATACAAACTCAGTTTGCCATTCTTAAAATGTTTTATAATAGCACATTTAATAAAGCTAATTTAAATCTGCTAATTTATAGAGACTTGCCAGAGGCTTTGAAACTTCAGAAAATGTGTAAACTTAACAGTTTGGCTGTGATAACAGCTCAGACAGTGGAAATTAAGCCCTTTGCATTACAATCATCTTCAAAGTGGATTCCTGGTTTGATTGCAAAAAGGGTACATTGCAAAATACAGTAGGACACCAATTTACAAAAGATATTTCAGGTGCCCCAGTTCTTGAATTTGGTCACTATTGTGCCTCAACATCAGAGCCTCAAACATACACTGAGGTCTCTCATCTTAAGACTACCTGGATTCTTTTTTACAACCAAATTTTGGATAAGAGCAGAGTTTCTTCTTCAAAAGCCCTCTGTTAGAGCTCTGAGAGAGTGCACTCAGGGCCATTAATTCTGGGTCCCTAATTCTGGTTGTCAGTCTTCCAGCTGCTGCTATATAGGTTTGCTACTGTCTGCTCTAATTCCTGCCTTTGAAAACCAAATGATAATGGATTATATGCCAGAGTGGGAATAGGCACATTGGTTGGGATCCAAGCTGTATCCCAGGTGATAACAAGGAGAAGCAGTGAAAAAAAAAAAAAAAATATATTCAGATATATATTCAGCTCCTTAGTGATGTATCAGGGAGCTTCATCTCTACTAGAAGAAGTCTTTATACATAGCATTTAAATGGCAACTAAGTGATCCTTATCATCATCTGATTTGCAGAAAATGGTAGCTTTCCTTGAAGATATAATTGAAATTTTCAGGGCTGCTGTTGCAGACCTCTCTCCAAATTTTTACATGGGAGAAGGCATTAAGGCTTCACCCAAAAAAAGACTTGTGGGGTTGCAGATTTTTAAGGGACACAACCTCATTGCTTTGAAGCTTTTTTCAGTATCTGTGAAGTTCAAGTCATCCTTTAATTTTTTTCCCCCTGCTAATTGCACCAAAATATTCATCAAGGCAATCTGGAATATATTCTTGGGTGGGTTTTTTTAGTCTCTCCTGCTTCAATGCTTTTTCTGTCGGTTCTGTCACTGCTTTCCCTCCTGCTTTTGTGTACCGAGAAACAGAATTAAGGTGTACTGCAACCAGTGGACACTTGCATAAACAGCCTGCTTTGAATAAAACTGCATGATCTGAGGAGAGGAAAACCACCTTCAGCTCTCCTGCCCAAATGCTAAAACACAGATGAGGTTCATATACTATTAAAGCATCACATCTTTGCTTTGAGACCACTGAAATGTTGCGAAGAGCAGAAAAATGTAAATAAACTGAACAGGGGGCATAAAAGCACATTGATCCTCAGGTTCTGCAACCACAATTTAAATGGTTTATATTTGTAATTTATTTAAGATGGTTTCTGGCAAATCCATTAGTAATGAATCTCTTTCACACATTTTTATTTTTATGCACAAGAGCTTTAAGTTTGCCAAGACTTCTGCAAAGCAACTTTTACTGCATCAAATTACTGCATTCCTTGATCTCCCCCAGCACACACTCACAGCAGCCACACTCAAACACAACGTTTAGCTCTGCAACAGACACCACCAAAACAAGGAATTTCTTTTAAATTAACACAGCTGTGAAAAAGAAAACAAACACAGTGGTTTTGCCCCGTCCCTCCAGCGCTTTGCATCCGATGTCCACATAAAATCAGCACGATCCTCTGCAATCCTTGCATCCTAAGATCCGTGTGGAACTTCTTCATTGGGTATTGATGCAGAATTGGGAGCTGTCAGCTCCGATCGCTCTCAGCAGCACAGGGGCTTGAGATTCTATTTCATAATAGGAAAAGATGGCCAGCGTTTTCCTGACAGAAATACCATACATTTTTCAGTCAGTAAAAATTACAGAGCTCATTGATGATGCCTTTCCCATAGAGAATGAGGACTGAAAATTACCCAGCAAAGAGTTGGTTTTTTTTTTTCTTGGAACACAGAACAAAAATCAGCACGATCTGCTAAACTTATTAACTAATGGGGTTTGAAACCCCCTCTTTGCATGCTGCTGACACACTCACAGCAACCTATGCATTGATCTTATTCAAAAAGCACAGTAATCTCAATGCTGCTAGAACTGGAGTTCTGTGTGCCGTAGCATACACCGCAAAGAAAAAGGAAAAAAAAAAAAAGCCTTTAGGAAAGGCATGTGCTGAACACACAAAATATGCAGGATGGAAAAAGACCAAATGTAATTAAAGCTTATATGAAATGAGACATTCCTATTTGCAGAGCTCTGGCTGCATTTCTATGAGAAAGAATGCACAGAATTTCAAATCATGCTCTATTTAGACAATGTCAGAAGAAAAAAAAAACAACCACATTTCCCCCCACACACCCCTCAATCCCCCACCCAAAGACCAAAAGGCAAATCTCATCATCGGAATTAGAGAGAAAAAGCAATCCAAAAAGACTGGTTTACATATTCCTTCCCAAACCAAGTAATCGAGTCTCTCCCTCTCCCGGCTAATAGCTTATAAATTCAGACTTTAAACAAAAGCATCCGAGGAAAAGAACAAGAGAAAGAATCCTAATTCTCAAGCTTCCTACTTAGCACTGCCTTGCTTTTGATGATTTGTGCGGCTGTGTGTGCGTGCCTGTTTGAGAAATGGCGAGATAGGCTTAAAGTATTTTCCATTTCATCAAAGAGCATATATTACTTTCCTGGTTCGCTCCGATGTTGGTTTTATGCCCACCCCTTTTCAATCTGCCCATGTCTGAGATGCACAGTGCAGGCGTACAATCATGAGCAGCTTACGACACTCAGTGAACACTGGGTGCCTCTGCATGCTCTAGCAACATACTGCTCAGCTGAAGGGAAGGGATTCTTGCTGTCTCTCTCTGCTCTAAGCATCACCTAACAAGCAAAGCGAACAAAGAATGGGAAATAAAGCGACCCTTAGCCGGTCTGTGAATGAATTGTAACCTCTCTCTGGAGTAAAGGTTGTGCCGGTCCATGGTCGTTGCAAATGATGGACATTAAACAGATTGACAAATCCTGTGGAGTCGTTAGTAAAGAGTTTGGAGTTTTTTTCACGCCACAGTGTTAACTGCAGAGGAAAGGACAGAGGGAGAAGGAGAAGATCAAGCTCATGTACATAGTTCTGAAACTTGCAGGTCCTAGGAGGCAGCTCAAAAGCTAGCTGGACAAGCCTTTCGCTCGTTGAGCAGAAGCGAAGTGAGACATTGTGAGCTTGCCAGCCTTGCACAACATTGAAAGGGACTGAATTTGTAGCACAGAGGGGTCTTTTTTAGCTCTGCATATAATTAGTCCAAACACAAAGGAAGCAACTGAATGGAGGTTGTCACTCTCTGGAAAAGGGTGGGTAAGACACTTTTTAATTAAATTCTTTCATGAAGAAAGATTTTTTTTTTTTCCTTTGCTGCAGCATTTAAAATGAACAAAATCACTATCATTTTACCTTTGAATGTCTGTGAACTTTAATGCTGCACAGCTCCTGCATGCTGTAAAGTGAAATATTTGCCTCTGTGTTTGTTCTGTTTGCTGTTTTGCTTTGGTTTTCGGGCTTTGTTTCGTTGGTTTGCCTTTTTTTTTTTTTTTTCTCTCCCTTAAATAAAATATGATGTAGAATTTGAAAAGACTCAATGGACATTCTCAAGCCTATTTGGAAATATTCTTGCTAATGGATTTCCTTCTTATTGGTCTCTGTTTAAACTGGCTGCTGAGGAAGCCCCCGGGGTTGATATTGTGTACGCTGGGTATCTTTTCTAAAATGCTTCCAGCTGTGAATAGTGGGTGTCCACAGCTCTGTCGGTGTGAGGGCAGGCTTTTGTACTGTGAATCACTGAATCTCACAGAGATGCCTCGCAACCTGTCGGGCATGATGGGCTTGTCTCTGCGGTACAACAGCCTTTCAGAGCTGCATGATGGACAGTTCACAGGGTTAATGCAGCTCACGTGGCTCTATCTGGATCACAATCACATTTGCTCAGTGGAGGGGAATGCCTTTCAAAAATTGCGGCGAGTTAAAGAGCTCACCCTGAGTTCCAACAAAATAACCCAACTGCCCAACACCACTTTCCGCCCCATGCCAAACTTGCGCAGTGTGGATTTATCATACAACAACCTGCAGTCTTTGGAGCCTGACCTGTTCCACGGGCTGAGAAAACTGACAACTTTGCACATGCGGTCGAACGCCATCAAGTTCGTGCCGGTGAGAATTTTTCAGGACTGTCGCAGCCTGAAGTTTCTAGACATAGGATACAATCAGTTAAAGAGCCTGGCTCGAAACTCTTTTGCTGGCTTGTTCAAACTCACTGAGCTGCACCTCGAGCACAATGACTTGGTGAAAGTGAATTTAGCCCATTTTCCCAGGCTCATCTCCCTGCACTCCCTCTGCTTGCGAAGGAATAAAGTTACCATCGTAGTAAACACTTTGGACTGGATATGGCAACTCGAAAAGATGGATCTCTCCGGCAACGAAATCGAGTACATCGAACCTCACGTTTTCGAGAGTGTACCTCATCTCAAATCCCTGCAGCTGGACTCCAACCGGCTGACCTACATCGACTCCCGAGTCCTCGACTCCTGGAAGTCCCTCACGAGCATCAGCCTCTCCGCCAACGCCTGGGATTGCAGCCGGAACGTCTGCGCCCTGGCCTCCTGGCTCAGCAACTTCCAGGGTCGCTACGACAGCAACCTGCTCTGTGCCACCCCCGAGTACGCCCAGGGAGAGGATGTTTTGGACGCCGTGTACGCCTTCCACTTGTGCGAGGACGCCGACCCCACGAGCGTCAACACCTTCTCCCCGGTGACCAACAACAGCGAGCAGACGCTGGGTTATGGCTCGGCCACCGCCACCTACGACGCGCCCGACGGCGACGAGGACCGGACCACGTACGCCGTCACCATCACCATGCCCGGCGAGAACTCCGAGAACGCCGTGCAGATTCACAAGGTGGTGACGGGCACCATGGCACTGATTTTTTCCTTCCTCATCGTGGTTTTGGTGTTGTACGTCTCCTGGAAGTGCTTCCCGGCCGGCTTAAGGCAACTAAGACAGTGCTTTGTCACACAGCGCAGGAAGCAGAAGCAGAAACAGACCATGCACCAAATGGCTGCCATGTCAGCCCAGGAGTATTATGTTGATTACAAACCCAACCACATTGAGGGAGCCCTGGTGATCATTAATGAGTACGGATCTTGCTCCTGTCACCAGCAGCCAGCGAGGGAATGCGAGGTGTGATTTTCCTTTGGGATTTAAACAGTGTGCAACCAAATAACAGCGTGCAGGCAGACAGTGGCACGGGGTGGGGGGGGGGTGCTGGGCTTTGCTGGTGATTTCTGACGTGCACCCCTGCCCAAATTGTTTAAGAGGGGCTGTCCAAAAGACTTGATATTTTAGCTTTATCGTGTCTTAAAAACCTTCAGGACAGCCAATCTTAAGGTTTCATATGCTAATACTCCCTTTGAAGATCTGTCAATATTCAGGAATCTGAGAGTGTAAAAAAAGGTACCAATTACTGATCTTTTGTAAACTAAGAAAACTGTTTAAAATAAAAAAAAATAGCATTTACAGTTTTTACAGACTGGTGTATATTACATGAATGGTTCCCTGTATACAAAATGCAACAGTTTAACCTCTCTCTTCATGCTGAGTGTTGAAATGAAAAGTAGAGGAGCAAAGAAGCCACATAAGATAGAAAGCTTAAAATGACCCAGGTGGCTTCCCATTGTAATTAGCACACATTCACGTACATCATGTTGCTGAAGATATGAAGCATGACACTGGAATTCTATTTTTGTTAATGTGCTACCTGTAACTGGATGTCAGTACAACAAGGAGCCAGAGCACCTCAGAAAGGCTGAAGTTTTGACTGTGTCACTAGGACAGGATTTCTGAGGATTTTTTAAGTACAGCTCCCTTGTTAGTTGCTGTAAGATCCATAAAAACTGCATTAGAACCCCTAAAAGTATTTTGTATCAAAACTGATGATATTGTGAGGACTCTCTAACAAAACCCAAACAAGTGAAACACTGCCAAAATATGCTCATCAGAATTTTCTTTAATATTAAAAACCAAACAAAAAAAAAGCTAAATTTAAGAGTTTTTCCTTGCATTTACCACTTTAATGCTTGTTTTGAGCTATGCCAAGAGCAAATACCCCCTCATTTTGTGCTCTGTGGGTCCATGGTGAAGAGCAAAAGCAATTATTTGGATCTCAGTGGTGAAAGTCAAGAGCAAAACCACTGTCAGGGTAGGACAGAGAGTTTCCAGAGCACCCTTCTGGGTCCTGTAGTAAAGTGCTGGCAAAACCCAGCTCGTGTCCCTCCCTTCCCCTAACAAAACAACCCCAAAACCTCTGCAGAGGCTGGAGGCAGATGTACCCTCCTTACCAAGGACTGAAAAATGGCATTGATGGATATAAGCAGTGATTTCATGATGTAGAATCCCACAGCTGTTTTATCTGACTGCCCTTAAATAAAGGCTTCCTTTCCTTGTATTTTGGATTTTTCATTCCAGAATGTGAACAAGCAAACGATTGATCTTTTCAGCAGCTCCTCTCGCACTAATTGACGATGAGGGAGTTTTATAACATCAGGCAGAGCATCTTGAAATTTTCTTCCTACAGCATTACATGTGAATAAAATGTGATGGATAATGAACTGGGTGACATTTCTATGCTTTGTACATGTTTCTCTATCCTCAGGTTACCACCAAGAGAGGAGCAATTCCAAAATTTTACATGTGTTTTAATGTAACACAGGTGGTTTTTTTTTCCTTTTTCATTGCAATAAAGTGCTATCTACTCTTACAAGGGTACAGCAGGCTTATAAAGCAGAAAAACAGGCACAGAAGAAATAATTTGGTTTTTTTGCATAGCAGGTTTTAGTCATTTATTTAAAATGTAAAGAGTGAATTTTGCATTTCTTTTCTGACTGAAACTATTTTTAAGGAGTCAGAACTTATTTTCCTCTATTTGGTATATCTCATACCATGTATTATAAAACATGAAAATAACCTCTTAATCAAAATTTTTACTCAGTGAGACTATAATATCATCTATGAAAGCAATGAGATTATGTACTGGGAGAGGACAGTGCCACAGAAAATTTAATGAAAATCAACTGCTTTTTTTTTTCCTAAAGCAACTGCAAATTCACCCCCAGCTTTCAAACAAGCAAGCACTGTTAAACCCAGGCTTTTCTCTCTTTAAACAAATGCACATTTCTCTTTCTGTGCCTCAAGCCCACAAGGGCTTGATCCATCCTGAAACTCCCCAGTGACCTGAGGGGCTGAGTGTGCACGTACAAACCCAACAGGAGGGGCAGAGGGAAGGTTCAGAACCCCTCCTCTCTTTGGGCTCCTGACCATGCTTGAAGCAAAAGTACTTTATGCCATGCTAACTGTGGGCCCAGCTAAATTTATTTTCTCCATTAAACCTTTCTCTGAAATCGATAGGGAATTTAAGTGTGAAAAATTGACTCTCTAACTTTGGACTGGGCTATGTGCTCCCCAAGCCACCAGGCAGCACTTGGGTACAGCCACTTGCCAGGAAGCTTCCCAAATCAACCAAGGTTATTAAAATGCTGTTTGCATATGGTAAAACAAAATATGAACTGGCTTTATTTTGATAATGACCCCCTGTTGCTATCAGGAAACGTGTTGGTGCAGTCGTGGTTTTGGCCCTGTGAACCTGAGACAAGCCTGGTACCAACAAACAATCATCCTGTGGTTGTATTTCTGTGTATTTTTAGCATTTTTGTGGGTTGTATTTGAAACACACGAGTGACTGCACCCCTCTGGAGTCATCCCTGCTGTTCATTGGTGTTAGCAACCTCCAGCTACGTTCGCAAGGATTTGAGCAATTCTGCCTTTGGAATTTATTCACCTCTGTGCTCCATGCATCTGGCATTGACAGCCCAAGTAAATGGAACAGAGCATTTTTCTTTGAAGGTGCAGTGGTTTCTTGAGTGAGAGCTGATTTGGGGTTTGCCTGTTGCCACTTCTCCTGCAGAGAGGTGATGGCCACCAGTGCTTTGCCACCCTGAGCAGGATGATGGATGGATCCCTCCATGGAGAGCACAGCACTTATTAAAGGATGTATTTCAAAATCCTCCTGCAGAAATCTTTTCTAGAAGGGTAATCCCTTCTAGAGACAGCCTCCCAGTGATCCCCAGAGGATTTCTGGAGATCTTGACACCCTCTGAATATTTATTGGAGAAAAGAGGGTGTCACTGCTGTTACGTGGCATGAAGACACTCCACAGGGTGCCCACATCCAGGCTGAAAATTTACATGAAATATGTGTGGGTAATAAAGAAATAAAAGAGCCTGTATGTCATTTCAATCCAGCTATTGCAAATCCAGTTATTCATCCTGCTCCAGGCTACTTGCATTGGTGTATATGAGAGTTATTATATTTGTACTGCATTTAGAGCAACTGCAGGGACAGATTTTCCCCAATTCTTTCTTCCAAATTTCATGTTCAACAACTGCCCAGAGATAAGTTATTCCCTCTCTTTTGATGCCCTTATTCTGGCCTATTAAATGCCTCCAAAATCAAAGGACAAAAAAAAAAAAGAAAAAAAAAGGATGCTTTTGGGGTGAGTTGTGAACAGTGTTTCGTCCATGAAATGCTTGGGGAATATCAAAGGAAGGGAAATATTTTAAATATTCCCTTTTCGACGTTCCACTTAATAGGACTAATCTCCCTGTTATAATTAGGTAATGAACATTATTTTTTTATATTTAACTGTCTTTTTGCACAAAAAGCAGGGTGAAAGGCAAGCAAAAGCACTACGTTTCCTGAGCTGGTTAGCAGTACCAGTGTTACAGATCTCTAATATGCATTTTCTTGCTGCTAACATCAATACCCACTCACAGTGCACCCAGTGCTGAAGGAACTGTTGCTGTGTATGCTTTGAATGTATATAAGGGATGATTTATTTTCCTTTCTGCCTTTTCTCCCTTCCTTTCTGTACAACTTAAAAAAAAAAAAAAATGGTATGAAACCACAGAATCAATGCTAATGTACCACATTCTGTTTCTGGCCTGAAAATATAAAATACAAAGAAATTCTGCTCAAGGTGCCAATTCCCTGCTTTGCCATGTCTGGGTGCTGCAGGGGGTGAGCCCAAGGGATGGCCCATTGCTTGTGGTCACAGCAAGGATGCTCTGGAGCAGCCTGACCCAGCTCCCTGCCCACCTGTGCCACACAAAGTCCATGAACCATCCCCAAGGGTATTTTTGTATGCTCTAAAATATTCTGTATGTTTTCATGGCTAAGGCATTGAGGGGTAGTTGAAACGAGTCTATTTGATCATTTTGTTCGGTGCTGATAAAAAAAACCCCAAACAACTCTCATTTGCTTTTGAGATGGACTACATTTGTTCCTTGTGTGAGTCTCATTCTGCATTAACAGCAAAAGGACTCTCTGAGTCCCCCTTCCTCCCCCCTCCAGCTTCCACAGTGGTATTCAGAATGGCAAAAAGGGAGTGTTTAATGAGGAAGCTCATTTCTAGTGCTATTATAATAATAACAGCAGTGATAATAATGAAATTAAGAGGAGACAAAAGATAAGAGGAAAGACTGGAGCAATGGCAACCAAACTCAGGGTGTTTCTGGATTCCTCTGCCTTTTCCTTTTGTAAAGATGGTTAACCTAAAGAAGTAGCACAGATGAAAAACCAAGACTGAGGGTGGGTGGAGAAAGCAGTTTTAAAAACTGTGCAAGCAGGGATGAAGCAGCTTCTGCAAAGGAGGGTACACCACTAAATAGCTCCATTCAGCAGGAGAGAGAAAAGAAGGGGTAAAGGGACGGCATGAAAGGGAAGATGAGAGCTGGTGAGGAGGCAAGGGGGGCACTGTGCACACATGGGAAATGAGATTTTTCCGTGCCTTCCCCTCCCACGTTCGGGCTGTGGCAAGGACAAGAGCAGGGGTTTGGTTTAGGGAAGATGCCCAGCATCGAGCAGGGAGGGAGGCGCAGTCGGGCGCGCTTCCCCAGACGCGTGCCCGCAGCCCCGTCACTTCCTCCGCCACCTCCCCGTGCCCGGGAGCGCAGTCAGTGTCCCCCCATCCATCACCGCCTGCCCAGCTCCGGCACTGCCACCAGCGTGTGCGGGCTGCATTTCCTGGCTGTCCTAATCACAGCTCACCACAGACTTGCTAGAAAAGCAGACATTTCTACCCCAAATAGCTATTTTTTTTATTTATTTTTTTTTTTTAAGAAACCCTCATAGAGAGGGATGGGTGATCTTGAGCTACTGCGGATTCTCCTGCTAATTATATCCACGCTCACAGTCAGCTTTACATTCCCAGCTCTAATGACAAACAGATCTGAGATATTTTTGCTGTGTTCAAATTACCATTATGCACCAAGGTTATGCTTTTCCTTGACCTGCCCAACCCAGTCTAATATTAACAAATTGAGCATTTATGCGAGTTCCTTTCCAAGCATGAAGTTGATTAGGAATTTAGGAAATGCTGGTGATTTAAAGATTAACCTTTCATATAATTACTGACATAAACCAGAGCTATTAAGGCATTAGAGACAACTATTCAGAGCATATTCTACATTAAA